CCTTGTGACAGATATTGTGTGTGATCATAGAAAGGAGAGAAGATAAGATTCAATGACCCTAGGTACAGAGGGTCACTGTTAGAGTGTCCTGACTGTGCTGGGCTGAGGAGCACAGATCTTGTTAGTCCTTTCTACTCTGGCTCTGTGACTGTAAAGTGCAGAACATCTCACTAGTCTGATGTTGTGACATTCACACAGGGCCAGCATTATTGCTGTGGGGTATCTTTGGGAATCTGGTCATTATTTGTAATCTAAAATCTTTATTGTGGTACAGTTTTCCTGGACTTCTGTGCCTCGAGAATTTCAGGTTTGTGTGTCTTTGTGACTGTAACAGGAAACTCACTTCCCTTCTAGGTTCCAAGGAAGAGAGCACTATGAGTCTGTTCAGCAGTGGCCCACTCCATGCTCCTGACTTAGGTGACTCTGAACAGGGTTAGGTGTATGGGGCTGTTTTTGTTTTTGTTGTTGTTGTTTTTGTGGAATGGATAACTAATTGCACTATTGTTTTGAAAATGCCACCATGTTTGCTTCCTGAAAGTAATTAAAGCAGGTAAAGTTACCTGATGCCAGTTGCCTAGTAACACCTTGGAGGTGCCATTACCTGTGGACACCACTATCATACATGACTCTCTGAACCTCCTTATTCAAAAGTATTCTGGCAGCCCTTTAGTCCATGGTGTTTCCCCAAAACGATTGGGAACAAGCAGTCTCTTGGAATGAAACCAATAGAAGGTATGGCTTCATCTCCATACTCTTGGTGCATAGTATTGTAATTTAATTTTCCTATTAAAGATAGGAAAACGTTACTGTTACGAAGTTATTATCTAAGTCCTGGAGCTGAGTTCAGTGGCTCAGTGCCATTGGGTGGAAGGAGCCTAGATCCCAACTTGTGTTAGACCTATCTATACTGACTATTAGCAATAAGGGTGGCGAAGTGAAGATGTGATTTTGAGACTGTAAATCTCTTGGACTTGGTCTCTTATCTCATCCATCCAGCTAGGTTGTGTTTCCTCAATACCCTCATCTTGACCTCAGGGTGACATTTCGCTATCTTGTGTAAGATACCATTCTCTATGGGAGATGTCTTTCACAAGCATACTCAAGGTAAAGATGTTGATGTGCAAATGCCAACCCAGATCTTTTAGAGTGTTTTCATGGCCCCTTGTCATTTGGTCTTCATGGTGGGGCAGTCCTGCTGCGCAGTGGAAACATGGGCAAGGCAGCTAGCAAAGACAGACGAAGCCAGGGCAGGCAGCTGGCCTGCCCATCTTTTCCTTCCTGCTGTGTCACTGCACAATCCTCAGAAGAATGCTGCCAGCTCCACACTTAGAGCCACTTGCTGCTTTTGCTCTTATGTCTCTCAGAAGACCATTGCGGTGGCTGTTTGAAATATAAACCAGAGAGCTGACCTGTGGCCCTCAGCTGGCTCCTCCTGCACCCACTGCTGCTGGACACCATGTGAGGCCTTCTGCAAGCGATCACCCCTGCCTGGACACAGTTTTCCAATTCCCTTTTCTGAGCTATTGTGGAAATGCCTGTTCCTCTCTAGTAATCTACCCATACACCTGGCTTGAAATGATCATTGCCCCATGAATATTCTTAGTGAACATGTTTGTAGATGTAGCTGATTTCTCAGGAGAGCCCTCTCAAATGTCCTCAGACAGGGACTATGGTGTCTCTGCAGTCTCTAGTGCTACCTGCCCAGTCTGCCAGTAAACTTTTGCTGCACATGACCACAGTTGTGACTCGACAGCTCTGAGAAATTCCGTGAGGCTCTCGTGTTACGCTGCTTCCATAGCAACAGGGAAGTAAGGCCAGGGATGCCTACTCTGCAGGTTGTGGGAACATATCACAGGTGAAGACAGAACTGTAGTCTCTGTCCTAAGATCTAGGGCTAGCGTTAGCCCTGGCATGTCTGTGGTATGTATGGTAGCCTGGGAATTTACCTGGGGCTCCCAGGCTAGATCCACGGGGCAGTGTACTGTATTAAGCATGTGGCATGAGTAAGCTGGTAGTCCTGTTTGTTTTGCTCATGAAATTCTTCGGTTTCACTGAGAGTTATCTCAGTGGCTCAGTGCCTGTATTCCATACCTGGGAATAGATAAACATGTTCATCTTATAAATAGATAAAATGTTCATCTTATAAAATTATACAATTGCTGTTGCTTTTCCATCACATTCTTAGATTAATGTGACTTGAACTTCTTGTGCTGAGTAAGTGGCATATTATGATTCTGATTGGAACCAACTCAGAGCAGTTTACAGTCCCAGCTCTTTCAGTCTACCGAGTGCCATAGTTGATTGTGGAAGCTGGTGACAGACACTGTCTTGAGAAATCCAACTAGGGAGCTGCAAGGCCTGTGGTTAGAGGATGGCACAGGTCAAATCCTTGTGTGCAGCTTGGACCCTTGTGAAAGCGTGCCCTTTAAGAGGTGTGTGCCGGGGTTTACTGTGGCTGGGCTAACCTCCTTGCTTCCTGGATTGGGGAGGATTCTCCAGGTGATTCCTTGGAGCTGGTGTGGTACATACAACACTGTTGGCAATGCCTGAAGGCTGGCCCAGGCTCCTCTTGTTAGTGATCACCCAGCACCATTTTGGACATGTCTTTGGGTACATCCTGTCCATCTTCCATAAAACTTTGCTAGAAACAAGAGGCAACCATGAAGGGCAGCCATCTTTACACTCATGTACACAAAACCACACCTGTGCACATTCAGATTCGCACATGCTTGGACCTCATTTGTGTGCTAGTTCATATAATCAAGCATAGGTTGAAGGGCTAGCTGTTTGCCCACGTGGGCATCATCAAAACCCTGCTCAGGAACCAACCCACCTAAACCAAAACCTTTACTGGGCTGCTTCTCTCACCTCAGTTCCCTACTTTGAACTGCTTGCTCTTAGTTAGGGATCTCTAAAGGAATAGGACTGATACACTGAATGTATGTACATTAAAGGGGGCTTTAGTAGACTGGCTTACAGGCTATGGTCTCATAGTCTCATGACGAAAGGCCAGGAATGCAGTAGTTGTTCAATCTGTGAGGCTGGATGTCTCAGCAAACCCAGTCTGGCACAGGAGTCCTGGAGGATTCCTGATTCAGTCTATGTTAGGATTCCAAAGAAGTAGGCTGTAGTACTGCCAAAGAAATAACTGTCTCAGCAGCAAGACAGAGGAACTTGCCAGCAAGAGTGGGGACAAGTAGGCAAAAGCAAAGTTTCCGTCCATCTCCTTTATGTGGACACCCACCCTAAGAGTGAGTGGGTGTGTCTGCTTCAAATAATCTGATTAGGGAATCCCTCACAACAACCAGGCATGTTTGGTGCATGGCTTTAAACCCAACTCTGGAAGCAGAGGTATTTCTGAGTTCTAGGCCATCCTGGTCTACATTGTGAGTTCCAGGACAGCCAGGACTACATACCCTATGTCAAAAAAAAAAAAAAAAAAAAAAAAAAAAAAAAAAAAAGGAAAGGAAGGAAGGAAGGAAGAAAAGAAAATTCCTCACAGGAGGGCCCAACAGCTTGTGGTTTCAGTTGCTTCCAGATGTCATATTGTCATCACAAACTCCTTCTAGGCTGTAAGGATTCAGAGATAGGTGAAAAGCACTCCAAAGGTCCCAAGCACTGGTTGGTTTCCTATCATGACTGCATTCTGTGCTGTGACCTTCACAGTCTTGAGTGACTGGAATGTTCTGCTCTAGTCTGTCTCCATACTTAATCACTGATCACTCGCTCTAGTGAGGACACTGTGTCAGACTTTTTTTTTTCCATAAAAAGTTCCAAGGGCCACCTGGTTGCCAATTCCTTGACCACCACTCTCTGCCACTTTTCCTTCCATGAGGGAGCAACACAAAAAAAGTACCTATGTCCACAGGGTACCCATCTACTAATGCAGAAAGCTGGAAACTGCTCTTAGGCCAAGAGAAGAGGAGCCAATGGCCCTGCTGAAGTGAGAGGCCCTGGAGGCTGCGTGCTCTGGCTGGAGGCAGGGTTCTTGTTTTCCTTTTGCAGTGCAGTGCCAGGGAACTGACTGTTGGGGTATGCCTTACTTTCTTTGTGCTTCAGCCTTTGTAGTGGGCAGATTGTTACAGTCTTCTCAGTTAAGGACAATATTCACCTGCAGTTTGTCTTATGTATCATAAGCCCTGCAGTCTCTCTTCTCTACTTTAACTAGCTCTCATAAGGACTTTACATTTTCATGCCATTAGACATGCCATATTTTGAATCACGAGCTCCAATGTCTGCATAAAGATACCGAACCTTAGGTGTGCTATGAAGTGCATTTCCATAGCTGTGGGTGGGTGATGCGTGTCTTGGGGTGTCCCCCACATTCCTCCTCTACCTCTCTGTCCCCTCACCAGCTTCTTATCTTTGTCATGTCACAGTGGTCTTTCCTCCTCTAGAACTTGACAGTGATAGAACCTTTCTTGACGTCTTCATGCTGTTGCCTGTGCCACCTGATGCCCTGTTGAATTTGCTTGTTTCTGACTCAGCCTTGTGCTTTTGCCTGTTGCCAACTAATCTGCTTTGAGGTAGGCAGCATTACCTCAGGTGAATGTATACTTTTGTCTGTCTTTCACCTTGAGGAGCTTGGGTTTGCTTCTGGGCCTGCCATGTGTGTAGCAAGCACAGTCTTAATGTGGATTCTTGGTGAATGAATCCCTAAGGTGGAATTTCAGAAGTCTTCTATGTCTAAGAAAATGACCAGCAGTTGTCCAAACTGGCCTCACTATTTCAGCTCTCTGGGGTACACTCAAAAAGCATTTATACGCTATAAGGTCAGCTACTCCTCTTGAGCACTCTGCACAGATCCAAGGCTGTTGTGTGAATCTTGCCCTTAAAGGAGCAGAGGCATGTTAGGCCTTGGTAACCTGTCCTCCTCTGTAACCACCTTAAATGAAAGGGAGGTAGGCCAGGTGGCACCCTGGGCCCCCTAGTCAGGGCGTGGTGGGCTGCGGGTTCCGTGGGTCTCCAGGGCTCTGACCTCTGTCCTCCTCTGCCTGCAGCAGCAGCAGGAGATGCTGGCCATGAAGCACCAGCAGGAGCTGCTGGAGCACCAGCGGAAACTGGAGCGGCACCGGCAGGAGCAGGAGCTGGAGAAGCAGCACCGTGAGCAGAAGCTGCAGCAGCTCAAGAACAAGGAGAAGGGCAAAGAGAGTGAGTGCTGGTGGGCACAGTGAGGACTCGGGCAGCCCCACCTGACCACTGCTTCTGTTGCCTGTGCTGCTGCCCCAGGCAGCTCTGGAGGGGCTTGTCACCCCACACAGGAGTCACCAGTGTCTTCAGTGTAATTATTTCAAGTCACTCTTATTGGGCGTAAAGGCTAAGCGGTGCTTTTGGCTTCGTCCAGGTTTCGGGAAGGACTCAGTATCAGCCTTGGTACAGGGGCATTCTGGGACTCCCATGTTGACGGAGGCATCTTCAGACTACTTGGCAGAATTCTTCGCAGACACATAGAATAGTAAAGCCAAAAAGCACATTGCCTTCAGACTCTGAGGTCTTCCATGTGTTTTCTTTGCATGCATTTTCTAAGTGTCCCCCAAGTAGGTGTCAGCCTATAGGGAGGGGGACATGAAGCTGAGGATGTATTCATGTGTGGCCAGTCTTGCTTTGAGGCTCACTCCTCCTGTAGTCTTGCTTACTGACACAGAGATGGATGTGGTTGACCTCCCTAAGAAGAGCCCTATTTGACCCACAGGTAGCACATTATTGCTAAAATCTACCATGCAGACTGTATTAGTTACTTTCCTGTAACTAATGGAAATTCCTTGACCAAAAGCAACTAGAGGAAAAATGAATTCGTTTGGCTTATGGTACCAGAGGGTCTGAGTCTATTATGGCAGGAAGATGGGGCAAGACAACAGAAGCAGAAAGCAGGCTGATGACATTTCAACCATACATGGGAGAGAGGGAGAACAGGAAATGGGGTGAGGCTATAAAATAAACCCTCATAGCCCACCTCCCTGGTGGCATACTTCCCCTAGCAAGGCTAAAGGTTCCATAACTTCCATGTACATCACCACCAACTGGGACCAGTTATTTAAATACATGTGACTATGGGGGACATTTCTCATTCGAACACCACAAGGACAGACCCCCCCAAATCCTTTATCTGCAAACACTGAAAATGGCTAGCCATCTTTACAAATCATTATAACAAATTTTTGTATGAATTTTAATCACCATCTGTACCACATAACAAGATGCGTATGCTTAAAACATTCTTGTAAAGTCTGTTATTTGACATTGTTTGAGAATTATTTTGGCATGTGATATACAAAGTGCAGATAGATACGTCTATGACAACAAGGAGTAACCTGGGGCCTAGGACGCTAGCACCTAGGGACCATCCACCCAAGCAAGGGCGTTTGGACCTCTGGGCCTCTGGGCCTGCGTGCATGTCTTTAGCCTTCCCCTGCACTGCTGCTGTTACTCATATCAGCCCCAGCTCTGTAGTTGTCCCTTGGGCTTTTAAGTGCTGCTTTTCCCTGCCACTGAGGGGCAGTGCAAGTCTCTAACTGACCTGGCGGAGCTCCCCTTCCAGGATGTGTTCAGTTAGGTCTTTTGCCTCTGCTTGTGGTGAGATAACCACCCCCCCCCTGAATCCCTAAGGTGGAATTTCAGAAGTCTTCTATGTCTAAGAAAATGACCAGCAGTTGTCCAAACTGGCCTCACTATTTCAGCTCTCTGGGGTACACTCAAAAAGCATTTATACGCTATAAGGTCAGCTACTCCTCTTGAGCACTCTGCACAGATCCAAGGCTGTTGTGTGAATCTTGCCCTTAAAGGAGCAGAGGCATGTTAGGCCTTGGTAACCTGTCCTCCTCTGTAACCACCTTAAATGAAAGGGAGGTAGGCCAGGTGGCACCCTGGGCCCCCTAGTCAGGGCGTGGTGGGCTGCGGGTTCCGTGGGTCTCCAGGGCTCTGACCTCTGTCCTCCTCTGCCTGCAGCAGCAGCAGGAGATGCTGGCCATGAAGCACCAGCAGGAGCTGCTGGAGCACCAGCGGAAACTGGAGCGGCACCGGCAGGAGCAGGAGCTGGAGAAGCAGCACCGTGAGCAGAAGCTGCAGCAGCTCAAGAACAAGGAGAAGGGCAAAGAGAGTGAGTGCTGGTGGGCACAGTGAGGACTCGGGCAGCCCCACCTGACCACTGCTTCTGTTGCCTGTGCTGCTGCCCCAGGCAGCTCTGGAGGGGCTTGTCACCCCACACAGGAGTCACCAGTGTCTTCAGTGTAATTATTTCAAGTCACTCTTATTGGGCGTAAAGGCTAAGCGGTGCTTTTGGCTTCGTCCAGGTTTCGGGAAGGACTCAGTATCAGCCTTGGTACAGGGGCATTCTGGGACTCCCATGTTGACGGAGGCATCTTCAGACTACTTGGCAGAATTCTTCGCAGACACATAGAATAGTAAAGCCAAAAAGCACATTGCCTTCAGACTCTGAGGTCTTCCATGTGTTTTCTTTGCATGCATTTTCTAAGTGTCCCCCAAGTAGGTGTCAGCCTATAGGGAGGGGGACATGAAGCTGAGGATGTATTCATGTGTGGCCAGTCTTGCTTTGAGGCTCACTCCTCCTGTAGTCTTGCTTACTGACACAGAGATGGATGTGGTTGACCTCCCTAAGAAGAGCCCTATTTGACCCACAGGTAGCACATTATTGCTAAAATCTACCATGCAGACTGTATTAGTTACTTTCCTGTAACTAATGGAAATTCCTTGACCAAAAGCAACTAGAGGAAAAATGAATTCGTTTGGCTTATGGTACCAGAGGGTCTGAGTCTATTATGGCAGGAAGATGGGGCAAGACAACAGAAGCAGAAAGCAGGCTGATGACATTTCAACCATACATGGGAGAGAGGGAGAACAGGAAATGGGGTGAGGCTATAAAATAAACCCTCATAGCCCACCTCCCTGGTGGCATACTTCCCCTAGCAAGGCTAAAGGTTCCATAACTTCCATGTACATCACCACCAACTGGGACCAGTTATTTAAATACATGTGACTATGGGGGACATTTCTCATTCGAACACCACAAGGACAGACCCCCCCAAATCCTTTATCTGCAAACACTGAAAATGGCTAGCCATCTTTACAAATCATTATAACAAATTTTTGTATGAATTTTAATCACCATCTGTACCACATAACAAGATGCGTATGCTTAAAACATTCTTGTAAAGTCTGTTATTTGACATTGTTTGAGAATTATTTTGGCATGTGATATACAAAGTGCAGATAGATACGTCTATGACAACAAGGAGTAACCTGGGGCCTAGGACGCTAGCACCTAGGGACCATCCACCCAAGCAAGGGCGTTTGGACCTCTGGGCCTCTGGGCCTGCGTGCATGTCTTTAGCCTTCCCCTGCACTGCTGCTGTTACTCATATCAGCCCCAGCTCTGTAGTTGTCCCTTGGGCTTTTAAGTGCTGCTTTTCCCTGCCACTGAGGGGCAGTGCAAGTCTCTAACTGACCTGGCGGAGCTCCCCTTCCAGGATGTGTTCAGTTAGGTCTTTTGCCTCTGCTTCTGGTGAGATAAACCCCCCCACACCTTGGTGTGGAGCTGCTGCTTGTGTGTTATGGAACCAAGCTTGCTCTGAGTTGTGTGCATTGTCCACTCTTTTCTCCCTTTGAATGATAATTTTTTTTTCTCTCAATGGTGTTTGTTAAGCATGGGATTTTCAGTTCTAGTTTAGTCCAGCCTCTCAGTTTCCTGTGTGTACTTTGGGTTGTGTTTTAGAAACCACTCATTTCTCCCAGACCATCTTGCAGCATATGATGTTTCCCACTTTGTGGACATCCATTCCGCTGGAGCTGGTGTGTGTTGCATAGTTTAGGATGTGCATCTGTCCTCTCTGGCATCTCTGAAAACTGGTGTCTGCATCCATGTGTTTCCATGTTTGCAGTTGCTTACGTCAGCCCTTGCTGTCATTGCACCAGTACTTGTAGTTTCAGTCACCACAGCTTGGAAGTGAGCCTGAGTTACAGCAATGCTAATCTTTCCAATTCCTACTTTCCTACTCTTGGCACTTAGTGTTTTCATTGTAAAGTCTTGAAATTGGATGCTGCCATCCGCACATGTGCTGGGTGTAGCTGACGGACTCCACTTGGTGAGATGTGGTATTTACAGCATTGATTCTTCCTAGCCCCTCAGGATTCTTTGGGTCTTTGTAATTTTTTCTTAACAAAATGTTAGAATTGTGTATGTGCAGGAGACTTGAATGCACTTTAGCAAGCATATTTGAAGCCATCTGATTGGTTTAATACTATTGTGCATAGCTTGGTTTTGCAATTTTGAAAAGCAATCAGCAACCTGCTGACTCTTGATTCTGTGCCCAGCAACCATGCTAAACGCATGTTCTAATTATCAGCAGGGTGGTTCAGGTTTTCAGCATATAGAAGAACCTCATCCGTAAATACTGGCAGGTTTGTTTCTTCTTTCCCAATCACAATGCCCTTGTGTCTTTTCCATCTTTACTTGACTGACCTAACCCACTGGAATGATGGGTTAAAGATGGCAGCCTGGCTCCCTTTTGTTGGTGCAGGCCACATTTTCCAGAGGGACTTATTCATTGGCCTATTTGTTTTCCCAAGTTACCTTCCTTTGCTAATTTTTTTATGAGTTTGAATATGCATAGGTAGTGATCTTTATCAGATACTTCAGCACCTTTTGGAGGTTATCATATGATTCTTTTTTTCTGACACATTTAAGTCCACCTGATATTTTTAAAAAAACATAGCCTCTCTTACCTTGATCATAAAGCATGCTTGGCTGACTCATATTTTGTGTATCTGTAACTATATTTGCAAGAAGTATTGACCAGCATTTCCCTTCTTGAAATGCCTTGCCAGGCTTGGCATAACAGTGCTGGCCTCAGGTTGAGCTAAGCATCCTTTTTTTCTGGTCTGTATGAACTGTGGTGCTGTTCCATTTTACATCCTTGGTATTGATGTTTGACCTTCTCTTATGAATGGTTGTTTGGTTTCATTAATTGTTTTCTTTAGTCTCTCCAGAGACTTTTTATCAGTTATGTTAGTTTGCTTAGGAATCCAGCTTTTGGCTTTATGAACACAGTCTGATGAATGTATTTCTATTTCATTCATTTCTACTAATCCTATTCTTTCTCTGTCTTCTATTTTCTTTGGGTTTGTGGTTTTCTGGT